TTCCCTTTCTTCTTCAACTCCATCTAAAACCGATCCATCAGTAGCCAAATGGTGGAAGACCACTGGAAAATACTATCATCTCGCCAATTCCAAAAAATCCCTTTCCCTCTATTTGGGCAAACAAGTGCTTGTCGAAAATTACTCCTTAGGAAAATCACTGACCCAAAAACAAATTGTACAATTGGCATCAAAGGGTGAACAAAAAGATGCCATTAACGTTGTTTTGACCGCCTCTGATGTTGCAGTCGATGGGTTCTGTGTCAATCGCTGTGGAACCCATGGGTCTTCTAAAGGTTCTATTATTAGGGGCAAGACTTACAAATTTGCTTATATTTGGGTTGGTAATTCAGAGACACAATGTCCTGGCTATTGTGCCTGGCCATTCCACCAGCCAATCTACGGACCACAGAGCCCACCACTGGGTGCACCGAACAACGATGTGGGTATTGACGGAATGGTGATTAACTTGGCTAGCTTATTGGCTGGAACCGCGACGAACCCATTTGGAAATGGTTATTACCAGGGAGAGGCAGATGCACCACTGGAAGCTGCTTCTGCTTGTCCTGGTGTCTATGCCAAAGGTGCTTACCCTGGCTATGCTGGAGATTTGTTGGTGGACAAAACTACAGGTGCAAGCTACAATGCACACGGTACAAATGGAAGGAAATACTTGCTTCCTGCTTTATACGATCCTACTACATCTACATGTTCAACTTTGGTCTAGAAAATCGATCGCAGTGGAGTAGAGGGATATTTTATTTAGTGTAGTGAATACTGTAATTTTGATTCATTCATTTGTTTTAGTCTGAGTAATTAAAGAACAAAATTCCTTTGGTTTGCTTTCACAAACATCCTTGTCCTTTCTTCTTATTATCACTAGTTTCAGCAATTTTATGATTTCATCGACGGACGTGATATAGTTTTTGCGGAAAAGAGCCAAAAATACCTTAAGGTATTGAATATATCTATTGGGTCATAAATGCTCTTAGCGTTAGTTTTTGGGCTCAAACTTACCCTTATATCTAACAGAAGGGCCAACACTACCCCTAACGTATTAAAAATGGCTCAGAAATACCCTCCGTTAACCTTTTGGTCCGCAAATGCCCCTAACGTTTGTTTTTGGATTCAAACTTATCCCTATATATAACAGAACTAACCTGGTCAATTTTTTGACTTTAACTTCGTCATGTGGCATTTTCTTAATCTACCACGCGTATTATTTGTATTAAATCAACCCACTTGTATCTTTTAAAATATCTAACGACCCTGACCCGCTCCTATATATTTGGACGATCGGCTAAAAATAATTACATTCGCTAGTTAAATATAAAAAAAAATACATTGATTATATATAAAAATATATATATTATATATTAATATTTTAATATATATTTTACATGATATTATTTTTAGGAGAAATTATACGGTGTAGTTTTTCCTTCAAATTTTATAAATCTTAATAAGTTTAACAAATATAAATTATAATTTGCAAACATAAAAATGATAATGTTCTATTTATATGATTTTAAAGGAGAAACAAAGAAACAGACGGAAAGAAAACTATTTAAAACCTTTAATTATATACATATCAACTGCTTAGCACATAAACAGACTTCACATGATCTTTTCAATGAGAACTAATAGTGTTTTAATATATAATGATATAGCTAAAATATTAGCAAAAACTGTCGTTCCATTGTCAGATTTGCTTAATTAATTCGAGTTGTAGATCATAATTAATAGGAAAAACTACACCGTATAATTTATCCTAAAAATAATATTATATTAAATATATATTAAAATATTAATATATAATATACATATTTTATATATAATCAATGTATATTTTTTATATATTTAACTAGTGAATGTAATTATTTTTAGCTGACCGTCCAAATATATAGGAGCGGGTCAGGGTTGTTGGATATTTTAAAAGATACATGTGGGTTTATTTAATACAAATAATACACGTGGCGGATTAAGAAAATGCCACATTGCAAAGTTAAAGTCAACAAATTGACCAGGTTAGTTCTGTTATATATATGGGTAAGTTTGAGCCCAAAAATAAACGTTAGGGGTATTTGCAGATCAAAAGGTTAACGGGGAATATTTCTGGGCCATTTTTAATACGTTAGGGGTATTGTTGGCCCTTCTGTTAGATATAAGAGTAAGTTTGAGCCCAAAAACTAACGTTAAGGACATTTGTGGCCCAATAGGTGGAAGGAGGGCAAAATTGAGCAATTTTCAATACTTTAAAGGTATTTTTGGCCATATTTCATAATTTTTATTTAGAGAAACGGAACCACAAGAACTACTTACAATAAAAGAGAACGAGACGCGATTAAGTGAATAATACAATTTGTTTTTTAACTTGCCAATCCAACAGGGGAAGAACAAAATAAACGTTTAAACGTCCAAATAGAAAATAAATTTTCCAAGTTACATCGATCATTAGAAGGTTTGATAGTTAAATTTCTTACCCCTTCAAACTCTTATAGATGCATTACTATAAACAAATTAAATAGCAATAATACTCTGAAATTCTTCTCCAAGTAAGATGGTTTACATTATTTGCGAATTGAGATCAACTAGACAGTAGCAGGCAAAGAATTAGTTGCACCTAATTAAGCAAATTATTAGGGTAACATCTTATATGTATATCATTGGGGAGAACGTGGCGATTAGATATATCCAATTTAGAAATCAATGATATAGTGGGCTGTATTGCCAGTTTCGACAAGCTGCTAAAGAAGAATATAGATATCAACCATGTTCCAATTTCTCTAAATAGTACTAACATATATAAATACTAGAATAAGGGAAAAGGTTATCTCGCATGTCCCTTTTGATCCACCTTGTTATTGAAGTCGAATTAAAATGCGATTTTTTTGGACTCAAAGAATTATAATATGTGGGGGAAAAAACCGACCATCATAATATATATAGCGCGATTATTTACCGCGCTATACTTTAACGGCACGTTTGTCCGTTAAGGTATAGCGCGGTTAATAACCGCGCTATACTTAATTATTGAGCCCACCAATAATTCTTCTGGAGTTAACTAACATACCAGTAATGCTGCGGGGTATAACGCGGTGAAATACCGCGCTATACGTAAAAGTTGGGCCCACTAATAATTCTTCTGTACTTAATTGACAGACCAATAATTCAACTGGGTATAGCGTGTATATTTAAGGCGCTATACATCAATTTTTTCCTTATTTAAAGAGTTTTAGAATTTTGTAAAAATCCATTCAGAATTCTTCAAGTCTTCCGAAATATTTGTTCGTTAAGTTATTTTGCATTTTGTCATAATATCTGAAGAGCGAAGAATTAAGGTTTCATTATATTGGGGGGGAGGGGTGAGGTTGTGGTGGAGAATAACTTAGTACACTATAGTTGTTCTCCACAGTGTCATGTTAAGTTACCACTTACAATGGAGTACAATACATTGGTATCGTTGTTATATAAAAAAATGAGTGTGAGCAAACGTTTGGTGAATATTAAAGTAACTGAAAGATATCTGTATTTTGTTACTCCGCAAGAGGTTGCTTGTTATGTTGAGTTTAACATCGAAGACGATGAAACTCTGAAAGATTTTTTGAGGACTCTGGATGAATATCGAGAATATCTTGTGATAAAAATATTAGAAATGTGCGTCAAGGCTGAAAACGTTCGCAATAATGAGGTTCCACAAAGTAGGGATAGTCCTCAATCATCGGGTGGTTATTTTGGAGTAGTTTTAGCCGAACAGATTCCGGGTGAAAGAGTTTGGCCTGATCTAAACTTATCTCTACATGGGAATGAGGAGCGAGGAAATAATTTCTCCCCTAGTTTACATAATTCATAAGCCGAGTGGTAAACTTCATTTTTTCTTTGTGTTACGATATTTATTTTTATGTATTGAATTTGTATTAACACTCATATATTCCCAGGGGGTATCAGCCAGATATGAATTTTACAAGTTATGAACCAACGCTTAGTTGGAATATGCCTAATTTTGGTGTGTTGGATCATGATGGTCCATCCAGGAGTCATCATGGGATATCATAACATTATGATTTGTAAGTGAAGTGATAAAGCTATATGTAAAGTTTGGATCAATTTGATTATGACAATAATGCTAATGAGTCTAGAGATGACACACTCTTCCCTGATGAGGGTGATGAGGAGGAGGAAGAGAATGCTGAACCTGATTTGACGAAGGAGCATGCTCCAACTCCCGTTAGACCAAGAGTGTACGAGTCCCACGTGCCGTTTCATTCACGGAAGATTCCCTACCTTGATCATTTGCCAAATATGACGGATGTTATTGCCCTCACAAGGGATCTTGACGAACTTCGGATAGTAATGAGGGATGAATCTAGAGCAACGGTGTTGTCAAAGGGCATACTTTTTGCTGATAAAGCGCGCCTAAGTAGGCCGGTGCGAATGTACAACATAAAATAGTCTCGTTAGATCGTGGTTCATGAGTCATCTCCGGATGTATACAAGGTTATTTGTCGTAGATGGTTTACGGGTTATAATTGGATGCTGCGTGTGAGGAAGCTGAAAATAAATATGTAGGTTGTGGGTAAATACATTGGCACCCACAATTGTGAATGGACACATTCAGTGGGAATCATTTTAACTTGAATGTTGACTTGATTTCTCTTGTCTTGATTTCACATATTAAAGTGTCCGTAAGATACAAGATCAAAGAGTATATAACATGTGTCCACCAGGTATATGGGTGTACCATTACCAAAAGAAAGGCATTTCTCGGGTGCAAACTTGCGTTTGAAATTGTTTATGGTCCTTGAGATAAGTCTTTTGCATCTCTACCTAGGTACATGGCCGCATTGCAACACTTTAACCCCGGGATTATTATTGAATGGAAGCTTGAGCGGAATCCGGGAATAGCAGAATACATATTCCGATATGTGTTCTAGGCATTTAAACAACAAATTAATTAAATTACAAAACAATCACGAAATAACATAGAACACAGTAAAAAGAACTAATAGGATTTTTTATACATGAGTTTTAACTAAAAATAAGTCGGAATACCTCGATTTTAATTTTTTGGAAAGTTGAAGATTTGGTGATTTGGAGCCGAAACGAGCAACCCACTATGAGATAACGCCTTAGATACGATGTGGGACCGAGAATCTATACTTTTTGTGGGATCGGCAGGCTCCAACTGAGTTTATTTTGGTTAAAAATGATAGGGGGCCCGCTGGAAAGGGGGGTGTTCTGGTTCGCATCTGTGGGGAAGGGGACTTGCATGCTTTTTATCTAGGTATAGCGCGCATATATGCCACGCTATACTATAGCGCGGTATATATGCGCGCTATACGTTCCCGCCCATTTAAAGTTCAAATATTGCGCGGTAGTTCACCACGTTATACCTTAACGAGCAAACGTGCCGTTAAAGTATAGAGCTGTGAAATACCGCGCTATACATGTTATGGTCCCCAAGTTTTTTCCCCACATATTTTAGTTGTTTGAGTCCAAAAGAACCACACTTTGGTTCCGGATTCGGACTTGGATGTCCATGACAACCATTACATATTGATACGCGATGGCTATTACATAATGCACAATGATGATGATGACAAAGGGAAGAATGTTGTATTGCAATCAACAACACCAACAACAAACCTACTAGTTTCCCACAAGTGGGGTCTGGGAGGGTAAGATGTACGCAACCTTACCCCTACCCCTGAAAGGGCAGAGAGGCTATTTCCGATATACACTCGGCTAGAGAATGATTGAAAAAGAAAAGGTAATTGCAACAAGTAGGAATAACAGCAAGATAAAATAAGATCGAATCCAAGCATGCAATCAAACTCTAGGAAGTAATAGTC